GTATATACATATGTATATGTATATATATATATATACATATACATATGTATATACACATATACATATATATATATATACATATATATATACACATATACATATACATATATATATATATATATACACCACATCTTCTTTATCCATTCATCTGTTGATGGACATCTTGCCTCTTTCCATAGTTTGGCTATTGTGGACATTGCTTAGCCCCTGTTATCTTAAAAGGAGAGGTAGCAACCCTCTATCTCCCAGTTTCCATAACAGTTCTCTTAAAGGAGTTGACTGGTTCTGTTTGGGTTACAAGGACTTTCAGTGGATCCAGGAGACATGATACCTGGTGGTCCATCCCATTGCCTTCTTAGCATGCCTTCTCCCCCAGTGCTCTAGGATGTTCTTTCTCTTGTGGTTTACTGGCTATCTATCTATCTCTTAGGGACTGCATTCACTGGCATGTAATGAAAATTTAGTTGAAAAACCAAATGACACTTATTTCCCCTTACATATCAGGATGTTCAGAGTAGGTCAGGCCCAAGCTGGTACAGAGGCTTAAGGAAGTCCTCAATGGCCTAGGCTCCTTCTAACCCCCTGCCCTACCACCCTTAGCATGTGGCTTTGGCTTCATTGTTGAAAGGTGCTGCTCCACTTCCAGACACACATCTGTGTTCCAGGCTGAAAGAAGTAGAAGGAAACTTCAAGGAAGAGGGGACAGCAGAAATTAAGAAAGCAGGACTTTTGCAGAAGTCCATAAGACCTGTTCATTTCTATCTCATAGGGCAGAACTGCGTCATGGCTATCCCTTGCTATGTGGGATGCTGGAAAATACAGTTTTTCCCCCCTGTGGGCTGCTTGTCAATCAGGTTTCTGTTTATAAGGATGAAGTGGAGAGTGGCTGTTGGGTGGACAACTGGCCAGGTTGGCCACATTGGCCATTGGCGCTTGCATGTTTGGCTTCCACATCAGAACAGGGTAGCCAGATCTGAAGTACTGCTGTTCTGAGGATTTGAGCGGACAGGGGAGGGCAGTAAATACAGTTATTCAGAATCAAGGTCTAGATTTTTTTTAAAGATTTTATTTATTTATGTATTTTAGAGAAAGAGAGAGAGAGAGCAGGGGAGGGCCAGAGGGGGAGGGAGAGGGACAATCTGACTCTGCACTGAGTGAGGAGCCCTACACAGGGCTCAATCCCATAACCCTGAGATCATGACCTGAGCTGAAATCAAGAGTCAGACACTTAACCAACTGAACTGTCCATGTGCTCCTCAAGGTCCAGATTTAAATAAAATCCTTCTGTGACAATTCCAAAAGCATGTAGTAAGTCTCCTACTATATGCACTTTTATTAGTCCCTTCTGTCAGAAAATATGCTTGTCCAAAGACTAGAGAAATGTCTTCAGAAGTCTTTGCATCACCCCAATTTACTGTTTGTTGATATACTTATAAACCTCATAAAAGGCTCATGCATATTTCACCTAACACAAAAAATCAGACGAGATCGGGCGCGATCAGGGTGGTATGGCCGTAGACCAGCTAACACAAAAAATCAATTAACCTCTCTTCCTTTGTCCTACTCAGACATGTGGACAAAGAGTATAATTTAATTCTTTCTTCTCTCTTTTCTCTTTAGAGAAAAAGAACCAAATTCATTGCCTGTGATTTTCTGACCGAGTGGTTATACAAGTAAGTTTTGCATGTCTTTGAATATTCAGTGACCCTAAGGATTCAATAGTGTTAATTTGCAAGCAGAATAGCAACAATTGACTTGAATTTTTGCTTATTGTTTTCTTGTCAATCAAACATGTGGCATCGTTACCAGTCAAAATCCAAAGAGGATAGGGGAGGCTTTCACAGAATTCTTCTCCATTCCGTTTGTGGACCAGTGGCTGAAGCATCAGTAAGTACCAACACAAGTCCTCAAATAATTTATTCCTATTTTAAGATTGTGTTAATGATAGTTTTCTCCAGTCCAACTAACTCATGTAGTCCACCCAGCACTCCAGGTCAGTTATATTTGTGGCTCTTGTCTCTAGTTATTTTCAGTCTAGGCTAAGAACATCCTATCCATGTGGTGATTATTCAAGAAGCACTTCAGAAATAAAGTAGAAAACTTTTAAAAATTCTTATCCTAAGTAATTCATCTCTCCATTATCTCTCCCTCCCTCCCCACCCCCTCTCAAGAGGTTATGTCTCAAGAAATATGACTAAACTTTTCTAAATATTAATTTTTAGTTGTATGCATCAATTCTACATTTAAAATATTAGAACATGACAGATAAAGTTAAAACTGTCTTTGACCATCATTCTAATATGAGTCTTCTCTCCTCACAAAAGTAATCAGCTTAGTCTATAGTGCATCCTTCCAGAGTTCTTAAAATTGGTTGTTTATGTAAAATTAGATTATATCATAAAAATTAGTAGTACTATTTGCTGCTGTGAGTGAATTTTCATCAATGTAAGGATGATGATGGCAAATAACATTTATTGAATGCTTGTGTCATTGTTCTCAGCATTTAACACTAATAAACTAACTTGATCCTCATAACAATGCCATTACCAGCCCTATTTTGCAGATGAGGAGATTTATGCATTATTCTGCAACTTGCTTTTATTTGACTCAAGTATATGCTTTTGAGATCTAGCCCTGTTGATTCAGTTACATCTAATTCATGCCTTTGATGGTGTTATAATATATTTCATTTCTAAATTTGCATAATGCACTCATTCATACAATAAATATTTATTGAGTACTACGATGTGCCAAACATCATTCTGGGTGCTGGCGGTAAAGCATTGAACAAAGTGGCCCCAAATCCCTGCCTAAATGGAATTTATATCCTAGTGAGGGATGACAGACAATAAACAAACAAGTGCTATAGGGAAAAATAAAGCAGAGAGGGGGGAATACAGATTGTTGAAGGGGCTTAATTTTTGCATAGGGTGGTCAAGAAAGATCTCACTTGGAAGATGACATTTAAGCAGTGGTCCACTATTTTAAGGCATAGGTGGAAGAAAGATAGCTCAATTTAGAGAAAATGATACATATTTAACCTGTTGCTTTGAAATGTTCTCATGCCAGCCCTTCGCAAGAACAATGTCAGGAAACTGAGGCATTAGAAAATTAAGTGAGCCGGGGCGCCTGTGTGGCTCAGTCATTGGGCGTCTGCCTTTGGCTCAGGTCATGATCCCAGGGTCCTGGGATGGAGCCCCACATCGGGCTCCCTGCTCAGCAGGAAGCCTGCTTCTCCCTCTCCCACTCCCCCTGCTTGTGTTCCCTCTCTTGCTGTGTGTCTCTTTGTCAAATAAATAAATCTTTAAAAAAAAAAAAAAAGGAAAAAAAATTAAGTGAGCCTTGCAAAACCTCATATTAAACCAAATAAAAGACCTTAAATTAGACCCTTAACCCTCAAATGACACTTTTTGTTTTTTACTTAAATTACCCTTCTTGAGAATGCCAAGTTGAATAGACTCTTGACTGACTTTCTTAATTTTGAGAATTAAATGTACCTCAGGTATTACCAGTTTTTTAAAGAGTTTTTTAAAAGTAATCTCCACATCCAATGTGGGGCTTGAACTCATAACCCTGAGATCAAGAGTCGCCTGCTCTACCAACTGAGCCAGCCAGGCACCCCATTACCAGTTTTTTAAAAATCTGAGATCAGCTACACATTGAAAGGAGAATGATATTGGAAAACCTTGTTTTTTTATTTAGCTTCTAAACCTATGCCTAATTTTGCCCACTATGAAAATGGAAGGCCCATAATGTATTGAGTATAAATGATTAATAAGTGGAAGATTTGCATGTTTTTCTAAGACCAGGTATTTTCAGTATCATTCTCCAAGTTGTTGCTTTGCCTTGAAAATGAAACATTTTCCCACTTCTAATAACCAATGAGAAAGAATCTTAAAGATATGAGAACTTCTCTAAAGAAGAGTCCTCTCAAATCCCTAGTCATTTATTGTACAAATATCTTAATTTAAAATGGTTGCTAACTTCTGCTGGCAGCTCATATAAATATACTGAGAAGTAGCCAAAGCAATCATTTCACTTTAACTCCACAAGAACAGAAACGTTCACCTTAACTGGCATTTGTACTCTCTATTTCCATAACCTTCCAAAGAGATGCCAAGAAGCATGTTAAAACTTTAAATTATATTAATCTAATTTGATGTAATTATTTATTGAACACCTACCACGTGCAATGCACAGAGCCCGGTGTTGTGGAATAAATTGAGATGAATCAAATATGGCTCTGGCTGTGGGGGTGAGAGAGACATGTTTACAACTAACTATGGTTCCTGTACTGAGTGTTGTAATATAGGTTGAAGCACTGAAGGGAAATGGGGAAGCACAAGACCATTCACACACCCTCCTGACAGACCTGGAGCCAGCCCAGTTGAGGCAGTGGTCAAGCTGGTTGGTGCCCAGATTTGGTTTTGAGAGGCAAGGACTCAGGTGCTGTATCCTTCTCAAAGATATTTTTGACCAGATGAGTCAGAGACAAGTAGGAACGAGGGTAGGAGCTGGGAAACAATATCTAATACAGGTTTTTGAACCTCAGCACTATCGACAGTTGGCACCAGATAATTCTCTGATGTGGGGCTGGTGTGTGCATTCTGGAATGTTCAGCAGATTCCCTGGCCTCCACCCACCAGATGCCAATAGCACCTCCCTAAAGCCATCACCATCAAGAATATCTCCAGACACTAGCAAATGTCAGAGGTATGAAGGGTTGAGTGGGGCAAGGAGCCAATAAAGTAGCCCCAGAGGTTGAGAACCTCTGACCTAATCCAGTGGGTTTCTACCCTGGCTGCACTTCAAAGTCATCTGGGGAGCTTTTGTTGCCTGGCTTCACCCAATTCTTCGTAAATGAGACCTATTAATTCAGGCTATTGCCTAGGCATTGTTGTTTTTGTTTTTTGTTTTTTGTTTTTTTTTTTAAAGAGCTTCCTGGGTGATTCTAATATATAGCCAGAGTTGAGACTTCATCCCTACAGCAGAAGACATGCTGTGTCTGAATAAATAGTATAATTATATTATACTAGTAATAGATAGTATACTTGAGGTAATAAATAGTATAACTTAGTCATCCCTCTGCTAAGCACGTATTACTCATTTAATCTTAGTGACAACACTAAGATGTAGGTACTAAAGCTAAAAAGAGCTGGGAAGTTGCAAATAAAGTGAGGTAGGTCTTAGGCAAATATGGTGATTGTTGGGGGCACAATAAATGGGCATTTTGGATAGGGCTTAAAGGTATAGATTGGAGGAAGATGAATTTTGAGGGAAGACTATGTCAGTGTTTTATAAAGGAAGCAAAATATAAACTAGCACTTCGTGCAGCTTTGGATTGGGCTTAAGAGCATGAGCTCTGGGGACAGACAAACCAGCATTCAAATCTCTATTCTACCACTTATTAGTCTCGTGACCCTGGGTGTCTTAGCTTCTTTTACCATGTAACAAAGTACCCCAACATTTAGTGGCTTGAAAAAATAAATACTTATTATCTCACAGTTTCTTTGAATCAGGAATTCAGGTGCAGCTCAGCTGGGTGCTTCTGGTTCAAGGTCCCTCGTTGGCCACGGTCAAGGCGTTGCAGGGGCCGTAGTCTTCCAAAGGTGTGACTGAGCCAGAGGAGCCACTTTCAAGTTGGCTTCCCCACATGGTGGGGGCTGAAGGCCTCAGTTTTTCTCCACATGGGCTTTTCCATGGGCTGCTGAGTGTCCTCACAATGTGGTGACGCCTCTTTCAGGATGAGAGACTTGAGACCAAGAGGGAAGCTGTAGGGCCTTTTGTGACCCAATCTAGGAAGCCAAACACCTGCACTTCGACCACATTCTGTTAGTTAATTAGCAGTGAGTCTCTAAGTACAGCTCAAGTACCACGTTCAAAGGAGTGTGACCTAGGCTCCACCTTTTGAAGGGAGGAGTATCAAACCACGTGCAGACATATTTTAAAAGCACCACAGCAGGTCACTCTGTAAGCCTCCATATCCTCGTTAATAAAATGTTTAGTTAGTAAAATTAGGAAGACACAGCAAAATGATGCACCTACAAATGAAATCACAAACAGGGCCAGCCTGTAGTAACATATGGCTTACTAGTGGCTACAATTGCCATCAAAGGACACTGTGGGCTTAGGAAGAGAGATACAGGGTGCCTGGGTGGCTCAGTTGGTTAAGCAACTGCCTTCAGCTCAGGTCATGATCCCAGAGTCCTGGGATCGAGTCCCGCATCGGGCTCCCGGCTCGGCGGGGAGCCTGCTTCTCCCTCTGACCCTCTCCCCTCTCATGCTGTTTCTCTCTCTCTCTCTCTCTCAAATAAATAAATAAAATCTTTAAAAAAAAAAAAAAAAAAAAGGAAGAGAGATACAGCAGAAAAGGGTACTCAAGGCCAAAGGCAGGAAGGTAGGAGAAGGCAGGACTTGGTCCAGGCCACAGGAAACCAGTGTAGCTGGCTCACAGAGCATGCCAAGGTACAGGGATGAGATAGGAGATAAGGCTGGAAGGGAGTTAGAGGGTGGATTTTGGTTTTCAGTAAAACCAATGAAGTTTGGGCATTATTCCATAAGTGAGAGAGCATATTAAAAGATTTTGGAGCAGAGGTGTAATGTGAGCAGGCTGTTTTGGCAAGGTAACTCCCAAGAATGCAGGGGATATGTGAGATTGGGGAAAACCTGGTTACAGCCCCCAGGTCTTGAACTGGGACAACAGGAATGGAAAAGGAGGTACCTGGGATGGGTAGAGTGGATGGATGCACAGGATGAGTTTGGGGGTGGAGAAGAGGTGTGCCTGAAAAGGCGAGATTTGCTGGGCAAATGGGAGGCCCATGATAGAAGCAAAAAGACCTCGCCAGCAAAGCAGGCTGAAGGATAAAGAGGAGGATTTCTCTCTCAGT